TACATACATACATACTTACATGTATACATATGTATATATATATATGATGTATGCTATATGAATATTGCTATATCGTATGATATATACAGTGGATATTCTGCAATATTATCTTTGGGTTCAGTTCGATTGACTTTTGTGGTGGCTCTCCTACACACATCCGACTCAACTGCACGTGTCTTTTCCCCGTATCGTACAAACCCAAGGGCAGAGAGTTGTTGACCCAGGCATCAGGGTTTCACTTCAGGCTTGGTCTCATCTTGCTGTTACCATCGGTTCAGAGTTGAGCGACAATCATCACACAGCTTTATGAGTCCCGCTCTAGCACGTAGTATGTGCAGTCTTGACTTGTACTTTCCGTGCAGAAACTCTGCTATGCAGCTTGTTAAAGGCAGGACTAGTATGCTGTAGATGAATACATGCGAACAGAGTTAGAGAAGGCTTTGTCACAGGTTGCTCGGTTGGATTGTTATTGGGGGGGGGTGCTCAAAATTAGGGAGCTCCCAAATCCTCCATAATATGGGGTCCGAATAGCCAGGATCGCATTAACTAGGATCCATATCCCGGTCCCTTGTTTTGTGTTACTCTTGTTTGGCCCGACAACATGGCAGGCATGCTCCTGGCTGTGCTCTATACAGCCAGACCTCGACAGGAAACGTCGGGGGACGACAGCCTTGGCTACATTCAGATTGCATAGAGCCACTGTGTGGTGGCATCTATTGCAAAGGGTTTTGCTTCTCCAGCTTGCTTATTTCCTCTGTTTCTTGCAAGCCTGTTTGACTCCTGCCTTGTGCAGGAACTGCTCAAGTCAATAAGTCAGCTGGGTTGGTTCTGTACAGGGTGCACGCCTGCGAAACTCAGGCTGACCACCACTTTTCGCCAAATGGTAAGCTGCCCTTGCCACAGCATGAGAATGTGGATGCACAATTACACCCATGTCCCTCTGTCTGTCTCTCAGTGTTTTTCTGTCTCTGAGTTCGTGTTCGTGTGTGAGTGTGTCAGTACAGAACTGTGGATGCACGAAATGCAGGCATGCATACACATACACATGCATGCATGCATGTATGAATACGTGACATACATACCCCTTACCGTATCTCTGTCTTTCACTCCCTCCCAATGCCTGTCTGGATTCCTGCATGCGTGTAGACATCTGAACGAGGGATTGCCTACCTGCCTGGCCGAGTGCCTTGCGCTTTCCGGCTTCTGCCTTCTCACGGATAGTCTGTGGGCCGGTCACGTTACGAGAACAGACCGAGCTCAGATCGCCGGCCGTGTGATGCTGCTGGCATGAGGCAAGCCGTGAGCTGGCTAGTCCTAGGGCTGCGATCGCCGCCCCTGTGACCGGTTCGACTTCTGCTTGCTGAGATTCAGCCCCCCGGTTTGGCAGCTGTTTGAGGCCGTGAAGCCAAAAGTCCATGGCTTTGCTAGCCCGGTATTCTGTCGGTGAAAGAAAGCTTCCCCCCTAAACCACTAAACACCCGACACCCGTAAACCTCTTTTCTGAGCTCTCGGCAGGAGAAGGCAGGCTGCGCGCCTGGTGGATCTTTTCTCCTCGCGCTCCGGAGAGGCATGGGGCAAAGATCAACGCCCGCCCTGTTACCTACTATACACTATACATTACCTACTGTAGATTATGTTTTTGACGTTCTATATATATATACAGATTGTAAACTGTGTCTTCGATATTGGATATTCGATCTTCGATGTTGGCTAAAAGATGAAGATGTTAGATCCTATATATGATAGAATACATACTACACAACATTTTTTCCTTCAGCAGCTCTTGAAGACTGCCTCATTTCTGACTGCACAGACTTGCGACCCCTGAACCCTAAACCCTACGCCATGATTTCAGGACGACCTGGGGATCATCGTGGGGGACTTCGGCGCAGTGTCTGCCTCCCAGCCGGCCCAGGAGTCAAGGGAGTTCCTTAGAGCCAGGAAGATTACATCGTTTACGTTGTTGTATGGCTGTATGGTTTCATGACGGATTTTCGTGTGGTATGAATGTTCCTATGCATGTATGGATGAATGAGTGTATGTATGGATGTTATGCGGCAGAGCCAGGTCGGGCCCTTTCGGCAGTGACTATCCCGAAGAAGCAGAGGCCCATCCAGCGCTTGATCTCGGCGAGCACGTTTTCTCTGCATTTGTGTGTATCTGTCTTTCCATGAATACATGGATGTAGGGATGTAATTTTGTGTGTATGTACAAGTGCAAGCAGGAGTCTGCGGCATAGTGCATATGCATGCATGTACGGCCGCATGCACGTATGTGAGACACGCGCCGGTGCAAATGCACGTGCGAAGTGTGCATGATGCCCGAGACAAGCCTCTTCTGATTGCAGGCGCCTCTGCAAACATTGGATGATGTCGGATGGTCCCTGGTCTACGACAAGGACGTGGTCCCTGCCAGCTGCTTCTGGGCTGCATCGCAGAGACTTCGCGTAAAGTAAGGGTTTCTGAAAGGCTACGGGCTCTTAGGCTTCACTAGCTAGGCGGATTGTTTGGGGTGTGTAGCTCTTGTCCCCCCGGCACTCTGAGGCCTCTTCGGCTTCCTCGCCGACTTCATGGCGACGAGTCAGAAGGCCCGAATGCGGCCGTATACCCTCTGTGAGGGAACTCATACCCTCAGCCTCGGCATGAGAGCCCTGAAGGCCGAAACCGAACCATTGTTTATAATATACTATACTTCAGTATATGGTAGCGCGAGCACAGGAATACTGCAGCAGCTGAATATGAACTGTGAGTCGACGTGGTGGATTATGCTCAAGATGAAAAGGGCAGCTGCCGGACCAAACCGGCTGCTTGCGGAAGTAACAAAATATCCATATACTATAACACAACACAACATAGCATATGATTAAGCCTCACAGTCCCAGAGATCTGAAGGCCCAAGACGTGGGTACAGGGGCCTGTTTCACGCCGTCGCAACTCGGCAGTACAGGTCACGCCGCGATCGGTGGAGGCCCTCGCTACGGCCGACGTCATTGGCGAGGCCTGGGGCCTGGGACTACAAACCAAAAGCAGGATCTGATCATGCAAAGCTTTCCCACGATAAATACGTGGCGAGCCCTCAGCCCAGAGCTCAGGCGTCTCTGTTGCTTAGAAGACTTCGGCAAAACCTTGTTGAGCCCTCTCTCTCTGTACATGTGTCCCGGTTTATCCTGAACCCTAAAGGCCCTAAACCATACACCCAAAAGCCTACACTTCGCAATCTGCTTATCCCAGACTCCAGTGTAGACTGTCGCGTTGCGCCAAGGCGCAGCTGGAGGTTCCAATTTCGGACCACAAGGCCATCAAGGCCCGACTGCTGCGCTCAGAGCGATCTTTTCCTGCATCTGAGGATCATATTATACATATAACACAATAAAACCTCAAAAATATTATATTATTATATTATATAGGATCTTTGCATATATTAGCATATAGCACAGTATATATAAGACAATATGATATAACATGCTTCTAAATAGCACATAATATAATATTGCACAAGAGCATAGGAAACAAGATAATGTAGTGCAACATATCATAGTATACAGCAATGTATTACATCATGAATTATGATACCATATATTACAAGGTAATATAGTATAGTACAATATAGTACATTCGCACATAAGAGAATTCAGTATAATATGACACCACATACTACAGTAAGATATAACATAGCACAGTGTAGTCAGTATCAGAAGGATAGTATATTATAGTATCATGTCGTGTATCATGTTGTATTATTTTATATTACAAGTTTTAAATTGTATTATGTTACAATGCAAGATATTTTACTATGTTTCTGATGCTTGTTGTATTATATTAACTTGTGTTATGTTATGTTGCATTATGTTGCACTATGTTATGTTATGTTATGTTATGCTGTGTTATGTCATGTTATGCCCGTTATGTTATATTTTGATACTTTATGATGTATTATAGTATATTGTACCATCGTATATATACACACATATTATCATATGGTATGGTATTATGTCATACTATGTCCTATCCTTACCTATTTTATTCTATTGTGTTCTGTTCGATTCTAACCTACTCTAGTGTGTTCTCTATACTTTACTGGGTTATATGATACAATATGATATTTTGTAGTAGGTATTGCATTTTGTGTTGTACGTGTTGAATTATGTCTTACAGGTGTTAGAGTGTAATGAGCGTAATGGTGCCACGTCAGGTTGCATTTCCGCTCCCAGCTCTGGCGGCATCGAGGCCCGATGTGGGAGCTGTCGAAAGTAGAGTGGTCTTTTGGAATGTAATACTATAATATAATATACATATACATATATATATATACATACATACTATGACACAATATTATAGAATATAATTTACTACAATATAATATATCATTCAGTATATGTAACTAAACATCAAAGGGCATCCTAGGGTCACTGAAGTTAACGAATTCCACGGCAGCACCTTGCACATCGTCGTGCTTTCGATCGTTACGGAGCTGCAGGTTCTTGCGGTCTTTTTGTGGTCTGTGCATGAAGCTTCTCTGGCAGTTGTGCCTATTTGCCCAAGTATTGCTGAAGTTGAAAGTTTACCCTGTCGCATTCTGTTTTTTGTAGGTGGAAGGCCAAAAAGATATTTCTGTTTGCGTCGGGGAGGTCCCGATTCGTGTAAGGCAACAAAGCGATTTTTTTGTAAGATTTCTGCCATGATGAATTTAAATGCTCTTGCGAAGCCCCTTGTTACACGAGTGCTAGAACCGCGAAGGACCAAGCCAACCGCGGCCTCTGGACTGCAGGAGCCGGTTGCGATCCGTGTGGATCACGGGGGCTTGAGGTTTTGCAGTTGTTGGTGATGAAAGGGTTGTAGTCATTGTAGTCGGTGTGGCAGGGATGCTGTGAGCCGTTGGGAGTCGCTGCCCTTTAGCCCTTTCGTGGATGCCCACTTCAATAGCCTGGGTTGAACTGGTCCCCAGGAGCTGCCCGTCATCGGCTTTGGCAGCTCCTGCCTCAGACTCACGGTCTGGGAGTAGGATCCATGATTCCCTGTGCCGATACGAGGCGTTGTCGTCCCCACAGTAACTTGCAACATGAAGACTCATTAGGGCTTTATCGCGGTCGAAGAGGTGGGTTGAGGACTGGAACAAGCCATTCTCATATCAGTGATAGTCTGTATGTCTATATAGAGTATAGTTTTCGTCAGGAAGGAGTGATTGCAGTGCTTTTTGTTGCTTCGGACCTTCGGACCAGGAAGGAAGTGATGGCGTGTTGGGGTCGGGCCGCCTCTCGCCGAGAAGTTCTTTCCCTTGCATCCCCGATCACTCGGGAAGTCACTCCCAGCTTGTGTATGATGCTGCAGGTAAACATTAACGTGATAGATAGATAGATCGATAGAGTGAGTGAGTGAGTGAGTATGATATTGCAACTCCATGAGAGGCCGTCGAGGGCCCTTAGCCCGTTTGAGGCCACTTCATGCCAGAGGATCTAACGGAGCGTGTCTCCGATCAGGCCTGCAGCGGCGAGACCGAATGCGGAGGGGGGGGGGGACAACCTCGATCCTGGTGCTCCTGCATTTTCCCTGGCATTTCTGCATATTGTTGACAGAGCTTTCAATCAGGGTTGTGCATGTAGAGTATGTCCAACCCAATCCGCCTATGAAGGATTTCTACCGGCGGGTGGACGAGCTGACGCAAGCCGCTCTGCAGGTCAGAGGGGAGGTTTGCTGGTCAGCTTGCTTCTGAAGATGCCGTGAGTGTCGTGCTAGTGTGCACATGGAATGATGGATGAATCAAGCTGCCTGCTCTGCACAATGGTGGGCCTTTTGCATGCAGGAAGCGCTGGCGGCTGGTGTGAGACTTATCGACAGCAGCAACCGTGGTCGGGGCATGTTTTCTTGCTTCTAAGCCTCCCCTGCCCTTCCTGCTCAAATTGCCGACCCTGAACCCGATAGCCCACGAAGTCCCGGAGCCTCGATGCCAGGTCACATGAATCAGCAAAGCATCGGCAGGGCTTTGAAAACAGCGTCGGGCTCAGCCCATCGGCAACTCATAAACTTGGGTCCTGCAATCTTGGTAACACTTTATAAGCTCGAGCTCCCCTCTGATCAGCTTCTGAGAACGTATCCGGAAGCCTCAAATCGATTCGTGGCTCCCTAAGCTGCATGAAACGATCGTAGTTGCTGGCGTCTTGTTCTAGAAACTGTGGCTCATGGAATTCCTTGGCTAGCCGATGCAGCTCAGCAATGATGGCCACAGTTGTCAATGGACGCAATTTCGGTTCGAGCACGCCAGGACAGAGCCGCCATGATAAATTCATTGACTCGAGCTCTGTCCTGCCGTTGCCTGGCAGGCCATGGCGGTCAGCCTCGCAGCTGG